TATTTTCACGTGGGGGAGGATGTTATAGATTTTTTTATAGTTAGTATATAGATGATGCAATTAAGGATATATTGATTTATTGTAGTTACTTGGTTTTTTTGACAATACTTGTCAGAGTATAAAAATTGTAAAAATAAAATATAGAAATTTTTCAAACTGAATTTTACTGTTTAAAATTATAAAAGAGAAAAACTTAAAATAAACCCAACAATGTGTTTTTAAAAAGAAGAAAAATAGTACATGTACATTTTTTCAAGACAAACTTTTTTTTTAATTAATGCCCCAAGTAAAGAAGCATTTACGATTATTACAATCTGGTCATCGAGATCAATTAGCAATTTTCTTCTAACCTACCTTATTTAGGAATGAAAGACTTAATAAACCAAGATTCTTTTCACTAGTGTACTTTAGAGTCTTATTATTAAGTTACACTACCGTAAACGTATAGCACTAAACTGCCCTATATTCTGCTTTTATCTAACATCACTAAACTAACTCGAAAGACTTGGTTCTCTTGAGTCTTCTTATAAGATTGGCATTGTCGAGAGGTTGGTAATCTCAAGGTTATCATGTTGTAGCTGTTATTGGAGCTGACGTTGGTGACTGCTGGCAAATTTTTCTATTGTATTTTCAATCGTCTCCACTTTAAGGTCACTATGAAAATTAGTATTGCGGCACTAGCAGAGTATATCGACAATGTTCCTTAATACTTTATTCTGGCAACGTTGAATACTTTGGATGTTACTTTTATTGGCGCAGCCCCAAAGCTCTATACGATACGTCCATACGGGTTTAAATCAGTCTGTAAAGAAACAGTTTACTGTATGTGGATAATATGGATTTTTTTGCTAGTAACCAATACATTCTTATGTATTTTACACCAAGCTCTTCGTGTTTTTTTTATATGGACGTTCCAACGAAGTTTAGCATCAAGTGTCAGATATTTAGGTGTATTGGCAAAAGGATCTGACTGTCGTTTATTCTTAAGTATTTATTTATAGCTGAAGTTGATATAGACAGATTTGCCTTCATTAAATTTTATTCGTTATCTTGTAACAACCAGTTTTGTTTAAGGACCACCGCTTGTCACCAATGTAACAACCAGTTTGTTTATGGACCATTTTTGCTAAGACCTTAACTACTTGTTGTCATTATACTATTAAGGGATAAAGGTAGCACCGTCACCAGCCCTAGGGTCTTGGAGTCCTGAAGGCCAGTGGCAAAAGAAAATAATAAAAAAATAATAAAATACAAAAAACGTTTCTTAATAGCATATGTCGAGCGGTTTTGGCAACTGACTCAAGACTCTCAAGTCCTTAAGGGTAGGAAAGCCGAGGTTTAACATGCTTGGAATATTTCTTACTGGTTTTTGGAAAGAGGTGAGAATAAAATAGGCTAATAAATAGAAACGTGTATATTTAAAATATAAGTAATAAAATTATTAACAATTTCAATAAATCAAAACAATCTTTATTTTTGAAATAAGACAAACAGAAATTACTACCCACAATTGGAAATTTTTAATATGATAAACGTTTTTAATATAATATAGTCTATGATAAAACACACACACTTTACTATTTACAGTAAGGCGCTTCGGGACATAGGGTCCCGAAGACCACGTAATTACTAAGTTACATTTTTGGGCATAGGTTTGGCTCAAGGCTGCCCCTTGAGGCTGTTTTTTGTCAACGATTGACTCTCTATTTATATCAACCTTTACGTGATTATTTTAAAAAAAACTCAAATTATTTACCTCAGAGATTATTCACACGATTTGTCCTTTAAGTTACTAGTACAATGAACTATTTCTAATTGTTCGGTTTTAATAAGTATGTTGTGTTAATTTAATAGATAATAAAAATATTAGATATTTTTGGGATTTTTTTTTAAATTCTTTATATTTTAAAAATTAGAAAGCCAATTATTACAACCTTTTCTTCCAGGTGTTAATCTGCGCTCTATAGATTTTCGCAATTTTCTATTAGCGTGATTTTTTCCAACAGCAAGGATATTGGTATTATCAGCAAATGTTGCGATACCATTAGGCTCAAGATAAGTAATATTTCTGGTATACAATAAGTAGAGTACTGGACCTAGTACACTACCTTGAGGTACTCCTGCTCTAATTTCTCTTAGGTTTGAATGGGCTTCTTCCTGTTTAATCCTGAACTAGCTTTCTGATCAATATAATTTTAATCGCTCAGATTATTGACGTGGATGGAAAATGTTTAGTTTTTGAATAAGGCCCTTATGCCATACTTTGTCGAAAGCCTGAGCCACATCCAAAAGGACGGTGAAGCAAACTTTTTTCTTCTAGGGACTTTTCAATGATATCTGTGATTCTATAAACTTGGTCGATGGTCGAGTGTTTTTCTTTGAAGCCAAACTGGTGGGAGGGTATTAGGCCCTTTTCTTCTATTTTAGGTTTCAATCTCTTAAGAAGCAATTTTTAATAGAGTTTCGAGATAACAGGTAATAAGGAGGTGGGTCTGTACGATGCAACTTCATGGGGAAGTTTACCTGGCTTAGATATATAATTATAACTTCTGCCACCTTCTACAGTTTTAGTACGTACTTTGGTCTAAATGTCGAATTGATGATATTGGAAACTTTGACAATTGCTTTCTGTGGAAGCATTTTCAAAATTTTTCCAGTAATAAGGTCAAAACCAGGGGCTTCTATCCAATATATATTTGTTTGAATTTCCATATAAACTTCTTTTCGAGAGGTGGTTTCAATGACTGTGTCTTCTTGTGCTAGTTCCATCCAGTTTTGAAGATCTTAACCGTTATTGGATTGGAAGGTACTTTCTAAATTATCCACAAATCTGTTTGCTTTTTTCAAATTGTTTCGGGCCCAGCTTCCATCTTTGTTTCTGATTAGTGGCTTATGTGTAGTACGGCTTAATAATCCTTTCGTAGCTTTCCAAAGTAAATAATCGGTACTTTCTTTGTTAATTAATTCTCAAATCGACCTATTTTTAATGCGCCCTATTTCACGTTTTGTGTATTATGTTGCGTTGTTTAAAGTTGTTTAATCTCTGGTACTCTAGACTGTTGCCATTTTTTTCTAATTTGTTTTTTCTGAGATGAGATTTCTGATCTCTTTTAGATAAATATTACCTTAGACTCTGCCTTTAATCTCTGAAGTGTTTTCCCACGCTGCTTTTTAAATATTTTTGACAAGTTCAACATGTTGGTCTAATTGTTTCTCAGTTCTTAATGGAATCGAGAGATCAATTAGTTCTTCGAAGTTGTTTTTAAAGCTTTTCCAGTCTCTTTGTTGACTAGTTAAGGTAAATTTTCTTTATTGACTGCAGTATTACTCAATGTGAGAAGTATAGAAGAATTATCTGAATTCATGTCATTTGATTCTTCTCATTCTTCTATATGCATATTATGATTTAAGGCGATATTCTTGATTATAGTCGGAAATTTTGTTCAAATTTATGTGCCAGTATGTAGGCTTTCTAGTTGACATTGTTTGACATTTGTGTTGATGGCATGATGCTAATAGTTCTTTACCTTTGGTTGTTATCAGTCTAGATCCTCCGTGAGTATATTTTTCATTGAGGTCTCCTCCCAGTATGAATCTGTATCTTTGGTTATCCAAAAAGTCAAGTTATTGTTGCTTCTTTATAGCATGACTTGGCGGGGTATTAATCTGTGATCATAATTGCATAAGTTTCTGTTTTAATATTAATAGATGTTTGGTAAACAATTTCTTGATGTAAAATGGATTCCCTAATTATAACTGCCTTTTGCCGCATTATCTGGATGGATTGTATGGTACACAATATATCCTTTAAAGATGAACGACTCTTTCGTGAAATGTGTCTTAGCAATCAGACAGGCATCAATTTATTCTAATTCTAGAACTGTTTGCAACTCTTGCTGATGCTGCAGCAGTCCATTTGCATTTCTTTCGAAAATTCTAAGATGATTGGCCATTTTTAGCTTTAGTAATCGCTTGTCCAGTCTATCTAAAATTTTTTGTATTTTGTTGAACTGGCTATTGAATATGTGGTTTTTTACCTCTTGTTTTCTTCAGCAACTTGGCTATATGTTTTGTTTTCATTATCTCTTTTAGCTGTTTTCTGTGTTTCTTTTCTATTAATATTTGATAAGTCATTTTTATTATTAATATATTCGCTATCCCGATGAGGTTGCGGAGACAAGTTTGGCTTCTTCGTTGGCTTGATTTTTATTCTTTGGCAATAATGCATCTGAGGTAATTAGCCGGGTTGCCTTTCCACAATGGACACTTTTTTGAGGAGTATTTTTTGGTTTAGTTCACTACACTGTTAAATGTTTCCCTGTACATCTAACGCACATTGGACAATATTTTTGTGTATGTCCATATGCCTAATAAGATCAACATTTGGGAACTAGTTTAGTTTTTCTAATAGGCTGAATGTCAATTCTTATACCCATGATATATTTTATACTAAATATTTTATTGACATCCTCATCATTACTGAATGATAGTATGAACATATTCAGCAGCTGTTTAGTTTTATATTTTAACTTTTCCTTTGCCTTAATTATTTTATAACCTCTTTTTTCATTTCTTTAGTTATTTGTTGAGGATCACAGGAGTGGTGCAATTTGGTAGCCAGTACCTTAATAGGTCGATTTTAGAAGGAGTAATGTAAATAATTTTCATCACTTTATGCCTTTGTGAGAGCTTCGTAATATTCTACGATATAATTTGATGGATATTATTAAAGTTTTCAACCCCATCTATAATTATTGGAGGCGGCTGGTGTACCTTTTTAGTCACTCAATATTTTATTTAGTACAAGTATAATGATTGCTGATACTTACGTGAGCATCTTGAGCCGCATCATCTGCAACAAAAAAAAAAAAAAGAAAAAAAATACTTTGTGATATTAAAATACATAAAAAGATTGACAATTTTATTTTGTAAATCGCACAAACTAAAATTTTGGCTATGTGCTAAAATTATTAAGATTTTACGTATTATTCTTCTTTCAGTCCAAGAAGAGGCGCAAACTATACAGAATACTCTAGAACCGCGACCAGCAATTATCGGTAGTGTGGACGCTCTCCCGCTTCAACCGAAGTACCTCCCAAATTTCGACAGAGAATGTCGGTCAGAACCAAGAGAACTTCCAAAAAGTGAAGAACAGCTCAACATTCTAAAATCGCAACAATTTCCATCCAATTATTTCTCAGGTAAGAATTTATATTCAATCAATATATTATCTAAAATTTTCTTTTATCTATAATGATGATATAAAGGGAGTTCGGGGGAATTACAGAAACATAAGATAAAATGCTTACAAAAACCTTCCTATGTCCTCACAAACTTTCATAATCCAACTACCGAAACTTGCACCTATTGGGAACATTAATACCATAAGAAAAAGGTTTAAAGACTTGCAGATTTTGAGGACAAAATTAGGTTTATAGAACTGTGATTGGTATTAGCCAGTACGAGGGGAAATACCACGCATCTGATAAGGTAATTCTGAGCAGAAATAAATGGAACTATTAAAGTTTATTGTAGGTAAAAATCAAATATATTTTAAACAAAACAAATTTCCACAAGCACTAAAAAACTCATTAATGAAAGGATTTTGTTTTTCTGTATGTCTTCGTTTAGACTTTAGTACACATATTGCACGTATAATAAACTGCTAAATTCCAACCACTACATTATAAATGTGCCCAATTAGAACAGAACACATTACATAACGGTACGAAATTTTCTTGTCCGGTCCGAATTCACCGTACAGCAAGAACTCCTCATTATCTCAAATAACTTAACTCTGTAAAATCGTCTCCAAAGTCTCTGGGAGCAGGCGATTTCGTTCATCAGTCCACTGGGCCGATATTAACGAAAAAACTCTTTCCACTGTGGCATTCTGTGGAGGGATTGTAAACAAATACTCCCATAATTTCAACATATGGCATTTTCATTCGGGATTTTCAGTTTCTTTAAAAAAGTAAATTTTCTTGCACTGAATTAATCAAATTCCATTTTTCCTAAGCAAGTTAAGCTTCTAAAAAGCTCTTAAGATACATAATATTATAATGCTTAAAGAGATTGTCACCTAAAGTCCACTTTTTCAGAAGCTGAGTTAAAAAATGATACTGTCTCTTCTTCAAATTTTGTAATCAAAATTCTTGTTTCGGTTGTAGGATTCTCATTTATAAGTTTGTTTATTTACATTTTGGTTTAAACTCCAATAAACGGTAGATTTTCTTTCAATTAGGGTATTCTATATTTCGTATAGTATTTTATTTTAGTTATCGACATTTTGTTCTTTGCAACGCTTTATATGTTTTTTTTAAACAAATTTAAGTTGAAACGCAGAGTCAAAAAAATTTTTGATTGGTGTCCAAAATTTTAAGATTCTTTCAACCGCGGACATTAGAGACAGCCTTCTTGTTCTCGAATGTGACAAAAGATTCTGGTAATTACTATCAACAGTACCCAAAAATGATGTCGTCTTAACAAAGAAGATGTAACATTAATGTTATATCCAAGAAAGTCTTTTTACTTCTCGTAGATGTTATTATAAATCCCATAAAATAAAATCATATTCATGATATAAATAAATGTGACGTTCATACCTTTTCATTTTTATCTAATTTTATATGAACTATAAATATTTTCTATATTTCATCTATATAAAATAGAACAGAAATAAATGAACTTGAAGTTTAAAGCTTAGAAGACAAGTTAAACTTCTATTCTAATCACAGGAAATTTTACAGAAAAAGTATGATAAGACAATGGTCTAAATCAATATCAAAGGTAAAAGTAAGAACTTCGATGAAATACTTTACACTGAGCATCAGACTCCTCCATAATACATTACTACCGGTTACGTAAGTACCAAGCGATCATTGGTATCTCCATCTATGAACGCGGGTCGAACTATTAGGTCTGCCAGGTCTGCGATGTAAAGACTAAAGATCTTAAAGATGTGTAACTTGTACACATTACTATGCTGACTAGTATGCGATATTATTGTGAGTTATATAAATTAACATCGTATAAATGTTTGTCACAGGAAGTAACTAAAAATAAGTACAGAAGATGTTTATGTAACTGCTAATTGAAGTATCCCAGCATACATAAAACTTTATATGCTAGGAATGTTAATGAACATGATGTTAAAATTTAAACATCTATGGGATATTTTAGCATTGTTTTAAAAATATATCAAGAAAAGTCTCTATGAGAAACGTTACAAAAAAAGACTGATAATGTTTCATGTTTAGTGAGTAGCTTCTGTCGGATACCATCGTGTTCAGTAAAATATTGAACAAGTAAAGGAAACATCATTTCAACTTTGCGATTGAAAGCATCAGTGCCTATTTCGTAATATAAAACTTCTTGCAATTTGTTTTTATTTCTGACAGAGGATGTGGAACGGGGAATATTTTTAATAATCTCTGTAGCTTTCGTTCTTGCTGCGATTTTAGAGTCGGGATACATCGTGATATTCAGTTTGACGATACAGTCAAGTGAAGTGAAAGATTGATGATGTTTAACAACTTTATAAGCTGTCGCTAGTTCCGCTGTCGTATAAGAGATTCTTTTTGGATATCATAAATCCGGATATCGGCGATGATGTCGATACAACAGCGAACCTTTTTTTGTGATTGGTCGTAGAAATGTGGTGCTTTACGTCAGCTTTATCTCCGAGGATAACTGATATAAAACAATTACAAATGACACAGATCGTTTTTTTATTCGTACGTCATTTTTTGTAAAACTCCACTCTTTCCTGTAGTCGTCCGAAAAATGGCACTTCCTCTTTTTCGCCGCTGACATTTTCGTAAATGAACGTTTATATAGGTATTCTAATTACGCACTGTGCGTTCCGAAACAAAAACTCGTTCTGTACAAGCGTTTTGAACGTATTCTCTTCTTTGGTATGGAAAAGAGAGAAAAATATCGTTGCATACTGTAGCAAAATCGAGACGCGTTAGCAATATATCTAACAGGCTTGTTCGGGTTTCTTCGAAATGTGCTGCAAACCACCCAAGACCCAGTGGAATAGTTGAATACCAAATTATTCGTCGCGTAAAACCATAGCGTAAAACTTTCCACTAGTCTAGGGTCTAGTATTCTGACAGTTTTAACATATTAAGAAGAACCAGAATAGACTTTAGATATATTATATGTTTTGCCCAGATTTTATCGGGACATTTTAGTCTTTTGTCGGGACAGAGAGCTCAATAACGGTGACAGTCCCGATATATCGAGACGGATAACAACCCTATGCATGTGTGAAATGACCCGTAAAGTACCTACTAAGAAACAAAATTATCACAGAAGATCTGTCGAAAACAGTTGATAGATATAAAGTGAGAAAAAAGCAAAATAAATCTAGAAATACCGCAACGAAGTCTGTATTTTGATGGAAGAAAGGACAAAACATTACTGCAAGGGAATAAAAATTGTAGATTATACAAGAAAACTGTTGCCGAAGAACAAATATCACGGAGCCTGAATCTATCTATATTAGCCACTTAACTCCAACTACAGGAACGGCAAAGTCACTTGGAAAAGCAATATTGGATTTTCTTGCTACTTAATTAAGTTAATTAAGTTCACGCACAGAGCGCAACTGTAATAGGAAAGGTTTGTTCCAACAGCAATCTTGGAACCATACACAAACCAGTTCACAACTTATTGTTGACGACTGATAGTCCATGACCAGTCCATGACCTATCGATGATTGGAACTTAATTAGGAACTTGATTGTGTTGAAACACGTGTTTCTGTTGAAAGATACACTGTCAATAACGTAAAAGTAAAAAAAATTAACAGATGTTAAATTTTGAATTTGGTAATTAAAAAAATTATAGAACTCTTTAAAAGATTTATAAATTGTGATTATTCGATAGGATTGTATATTAATTGAGTTTGGTTTTTACTGTATCTAAGTCAGAATAGTAGTCTTTTTAATTTTTTACAATAAGATAATGAATAAAAACCAAATTACGATCAAGACTACGATCGATGCCATCAAAACTAATATAATCACGACAGTTGGTCGTGATTTATTTACGAGCTCACTTTCGTTTTGCGCATGTCTTGACAATTCGTTCCTATTCAAACCCAGGAACTGATTTGTCAGTTTTTGTACAGTTTTGAGTCCGAGGTATGTTGCAACAACAAATCTAGAATGCGCAGAATCCCGACAGTACTTAAACCGATTTGCTATTGTATTGGAACAAACCTGTCTACACGTGCAAACTGTAAATAAAAATGCGTTACTATTTTATCAGAGGACTTGGGTTATTTCTATCACTTTATAATCGAGTGTGCATACTGCCAAACATAATTAATGCTTGCAAATTTACTTACGAAACCACTTTTGCTAAAGGACTGGCAATACTTCTAAAATCCTGCGGACTATGTAGTTACATGATTGTGGAGAAATGTTAAAATATTTCGTGAAATTTTTGTTTTTTCCTGGTGCTATATTTATTTTGCCTTGGTGTTTATAATTTTAAAGTATATTCGTTGTCAAATAAAAGTTATTAAAAAGATCAAAAGTTTTATTATATTTAAGAATATATTCCACATAGCCACTTTTACACTTTTAATATCTTCGTGAATAATATATCTGTTTATCTGCTATGGAAAACGTTAATGATACGCCACTCTTTTTTTCTACTTGGCACTAACACTTGTACCATCTTTGGCGTCGTTAGGTTGGATATTTAATATCCGGTTTGACTGTGTGCAGATGCGTAATCATTTCCTATTTATGGTTGAAAATTTACCGTTTTTAAAAACATTTATTCAGTCTAAAAGTTTTTTTACCAATATGTATTAAATTTTATAATTTTTCAGGCAAAAGTCCGTCAAATATTACTGAAACTGGAATTAGTCTTGCTAGCGTTCCAGCCATAGCGATCGGCAGCTCCACAGAAGTCCTGGTCAGTATAGTTGAGAGCCAAGTCAACTTAAGAAGAAACTCAATGATGGTGGGAGATCTAGCTTCGCGCAGAGAAGAAAAAAATTCACCAGATTTTGATAACGTCAAATCACCTAGTACGGAGTTCACGACGTCTTCCGTACAATCCACTCCCCTCGACGAATCAGTTAGTAGATTAGAAAGCGTTATATATTGTGATAAAACTGAAGAAAATAACATTGAATCTTACACTGTGTGAATTTGTTCTGAGCTGTTGCAAATATTTGAGATGTGTTTGGTAAACCGATGTATATTAAAAATGTTTTATGATTTGATAGTATTTATTGTTAAATGAAATGAATATTTAAATTGATTTATTTAAAATTATGAGTTACAGTTGTCGACTGACTATACAGGACATCATATATGCATGATACAACATCACAAATATGATCAAATTCCATAAAATATTCTCCATTGTCATGGTAAACATCCAAGGACAAATCATTGCCAAAACCGTAATTGTACATACATTCGTACAAAAACTTGGTATAAAACTTGATACTAACACGATGTACTGAACGCTCCTAAAAACACGGGTTCTATGAAGATACACAAAAAAAAGTGACCAAAAAAAACTTACCGGCCAGCTTTCCAACTGCGTCATTAGCCAAATCCAGAATACAACTGTATTATTAAAAAATATATGTGTGGTGTTTAAATCCCGCAATCCCACACACTAAGGGCGGTTTTAATTATTATGCAATACCAAAACACTCTACAAATGCATAAAATTATAACAGGAACACACACACTGACTAAATAATGACCCTCTACATTCGCTGGTAAGTTTGGAAAGAACGAAAAATGCGTAATTTCTAATTACTCTAACCAAACAATTCGATATTTACAAATGCAAACAGTTTCGAATCGGACCATAGTACAAATCGATAATCGATTACATTCCGATACATCGATAAATAACCACAACGAGTTATTTAACAACAATTAATATTGTTATCTGCTGGATCAACTAAATCCTAATACAGATGAACCAATTATTAACCTCTTATAAAACATCTACTAATTATAGTACAAAATGTACATCCTTAAAATTAAAATAATATCGAACGCTACCCCATAATCGATTTATAAATTACAGAGTTACTAATCCTCAACAAAAACGTATCTATCGTTTAAGTCGTAGTCTGTTGAAAACAGCTGATATGAATATATTTGGATTATTCTAGAAATTACTCTACACTCAGAAAACAAAAGTAGTAAGATTAAAATTTTGAAATTATCAAATAAATATTATTTATTTCAGAGAAATGAAAATAAACGAAATTGTTTAATAAAGTGACGTAATTATAAAAATTGCAAAATCTGATCGTAACACATTATTGTGAAAAAGTCCAATATCTCCGCCTCTATTAGAGATATAAAAAAAAAATATTTTTAGAGAACGGTAGACAGCTTTAAACTACATATTTTAAAATTATTTTTTGAATATACAGGGTGTTTAATAACTTCTTTCTGAAACCAATTTATGTTCTTTTTAATGGATAACCCTGTATTTTATTTTATATTTTAATTGCACTCGTTTTTCTCATTCTAAAAATATAAACTATTATTGGTTCATAAAGGGTATTTTGCAGGATATAATCAGTTTTGTATGAAAATCGTATTGAATTCAATGACCTATATCATGCAAAAGAAACCATTGGTAACCAATTTTTTTTTCTACCACAAATTTTTAATCATGGTCAAATTTTATCCGGAGACACTACTTTTTTCAATTCGCATCAAATCTGTACAGGGTGAGTTAAAACACAAATACATAATTTTCTCAATTTTTTTAAATGGTTCTCCCTGTATTTTATATCATCGTTTAAAAGTATACTAATTATACTTTAATTTGACTCAAGCACTCCCTATACCAAAAGTTAATAGTTTTTAGGGATTTTTAAATTTTACTGATAAAAACGATAATTCAGAAACTAATTGATAGAAAATACATTCTGTTTGATAATTAGTAATTATTACAATTTAACCATCTGTAATTATTATCGATTTTTACATTAAGAAAGAAAAAATATCAATATCTAGCACAAATTCATACTTTATTATTTAAATGTTATTTTTACAAATTATATTTAATTAAAACAATTGTTCAAAGAGGCCTCCCATATTATATGCAGGCCTGAAGACGGTTTTCAAAGTTCCGACTCACATTTCTAAGCATTTTCACAGAACATTTTAAAATGCCTCTTTTACTCGTATTTTCATATAATCTACTGTAGTTGGAGGTATTTTATACACTAGAGCCTTAACGTAGCCTCAGAAAAAAAGTCCATTTTAGTTAAATCTGGTGACCGGGCTGGCCAAAGGATTGGCCCGCCTCTTCCTATCCATCTTCCTGGAAATTTATCTGCAAGTTTGCCATTTACAATAGCGTTATTCTGAACAGGAGCACCATCATGTAAACACCACATTTTTCGGCGTACTTCAAGAGGAAAATCTTCAAGCAATATTGGTAAAGAATTCACTAGAAAGTCTAACTACAATTTCCCATTTGCAGGTTCGGTAAAAAAATGAGGTCCTATCACGTACTCACCGATAATGCCCCCCCAAACATTTAAAGACCACCTTTCCTGACTGTGCGTAATAATATGGTATGGATTGGAAGTGGAATAATAATGAAAATTGTGCCTATTGACACAGCCATTTCGATGAAAAGTTGCCTCATCTCCAAAAAGCACGTACTCAAAAAAATCTCTTTGTTCAGTAATTTTTTTGTTGTGACCATTCCCAAAAAGTTACCTTGTGTTCAAAATCCATAATACTGAGTTCTTGATGTAGTTGCATATGATAAGGATGCATTTTATTTTTGGAAAGTATTCTTTGTACTGACGTATAACTTATTTCCTATTCTCTTGAAAATTTTCTTATAACTGTATGCAGATTTTCGGTAACTGCTAACAAAACATTTAGTTAATTTTCCTCTTTAGTAACAGTTATTGTTATATTAATTTTCTCATATGAAACTGACCCTGTTCGGTTAAATCAATCCATCAGTTGTTCGGAAGACGTTTTATTTGGCGTTCTACGCTCTGGAAATCGTTCTTTATAAACTCTAGTTGCTAACAAAGAGTTTTTATTGCATTCTCCCAAAATCCATACCATATCAACTAATTCTTCACGACTATAATTCATATTAAAAAACTGGTGAGGCTTTGTAGAAAACAAATAATGCAACAATAATGACATTAATAATAACAAACTGTCAGTATTGGGGTAATAATAACAAACTGTCAGTATTGGGGGTTTTCAAAGCCAACTTAAAAAAAATTTAATAAACAAAAAATTTAGCAGGTTTCATTTGTAGTTTGTGGTTGCAATTTTTATTTCTTTTTCTAATAAATGTATAAGTGACATTAAATATTGTCAGAAACTTACTTAGTCGATAATAAATAATTACTTCAGGTTAAATTCAGTTAATTACTAATGATAAATAAAATATATTTCCAATCAATTATTTTCTGAATTATCGTTTTTACCACTAAAATTTAAAAATCTCTAAAACCTATTAACTTTTGGTATAGGAAACGTTTGAGTCAAATAAAAGTAAAATTAGGATACTTTTGAACGATGATATAAAATACAGGGTGAACCATTTAAAAAAATTGAGAAAATGATATATTTGTGTTTTGACTCACCCTGTACAGATTTAATGCGAATTGAAAAAAGTAGTGTCTTCGTATAAAATTGAACCATGATCGAAAAATTGTGGTAGAAAAAAAATTGGTTGTTTTGCATGATATAGGTCATTGAGTTCAATACGATTTTCATACAAATCCTGCAAAATACCCTGTATAAACCAATAATAATTTATATTTTTAGAATGGGAAAAGCGAGCGTAATTCAAATATAAAATAAAATACAGGGTGATCCATTAAATAGAACATACGTTGGTTCCTGAGAGAAGTTATTAAACACCCTGTATATTCAAAAATAATTTTAGAATATGTAGTTTTATGCTGTCTACCGTTATGTGAAAATATTTTTTTATATCTCTAATAATGGCGGAGATATTGGACTTTTTCAACCTGTATAGGAGCTAGCACAGTACGAGCTAGCACTGCCTACTTAATTGATCTTAAATTTCAAGGGTTTAAATAATTTTAACATGATTTTTAGCAACATGTCAGAGGTACGGTCTATATTTGTCACAATTAATATAGCACCATTACAGAAAAACCCGACTCTAACAAATTCTGGCAATATAAGGCTAAGGGGTAGAAAATTATGTGTCTGATTTTGACTCCTTTTTGTTAAAGATGGGGTGATTATTCGAATTTTGTAGAGGTGGTAATAAACTGTCTTGTATAGTTTGAATCACTGTTCTGTAATATTTGCTGGATAGGATAAATCCCTTCTATTTCAGATGGACATAACGGACAGTTGTTTAAATTATACAAAAGTTGCCCAGTTTTGTGCTTATTAAAATTGTGTCTGAAAACGTTTAAAATCTACAGGAAGATTTAAAATATCGGACAAAAAATTAAAATTTTCTTGTCATCATTTTAATGAGTACAATACTGCGCAACTTTTGTCTAATTTAACCAACGTTATTTTTGTTACAGTTAAACAAATATCAATAGCGTCCATATAAAATAATAAAGATCCCGTAGACTATTATTGACATCATGAAACTCTGTACCAACAGGGAAGTGCCATGACGATTTCGGCAAATTTGATGAAATTTATTTTATTCGATTATTTTTGATTTATAAAATAAAAAATTTACTGTTAAACTCAAAATAAATATCATTTACGTTTAGTAGACTACAACATTTTTCGATTTTATTTATAGTAATAAATGTCTGTGGTAGTTTTTCATGACCTATCCTTCTGGTCCAATCCATATCTTTCTTTTATTAGGCCAGTTAAAATTTATATTAATATTAAATTCGACATTGACAACCCTTTACTAATAAAAAAAACTTTTCATGCATAATCAAATACAAAATGAAACCCTTTACACTGATGGTTCTAAATCAAATAATCAAGTATGTTACGCTTTATATTATCCCAATAAAACTTTTACAAATTGTATGTTACTTTATGATGTAGAATTATTAGAAATTAAAAAAGCCTTTTTGTTATGTTTAATCAAGAGGAATTATATTTTATTATTTTTAGACTGCAGAAGTTGAGTTCAAAAGTTTCAAAATTGTAATTTTAATTCAAAAATTAAATATATAATTTTGGACATTTTAAAACTAA